AAACTTATGAAAATCAGAATATTCATTTGCCAAGACAATATTTGACATTTTTACTGGAAAACATTAACAAAATAATGTTGAATCTGCCCACGTTTTTGAAATAAAAATCTCAAAATTTCTTCATTTTTAATAGTTTTCGAAATCGAAACTATTTAGATGCCATTTTTTCTTTTAAAATATTAAGAATTATATCTAAGGTTAACAAAAACCCATAGTTTATTATGTTCAACAAGATAAATTTAACAAAACAGCCTTTTGAACATGTATACATGTACCCCCGTATTTTAAATATCAATTGTTCAATCATTTTTTGGCAAAAAAATTTAAAAAGTTAAATTTTAAAAAATAATATAGGCTTTAAAATCAATCAAAATAGATCTTAAGTTAGTTTGTTTAAAAAAAATTAAAAAGCATTAGGTCCATAAAGGCAATTATGTATTTTGTGTCTGTGTATTACTAAATGACATACAGTTCCTACGGACAGAGTGCAAAGTGTTAAAATTTCCATAAATAACGATGTTAAATGTTCAATTACATTAAAATAAACAAATAATACTTGCTAAATTATTTTAAATCATCCAAATTTATTTTTTCAACAGATAAGTGATAATCATAATTTTATATTGGAGTGTGAAATTAAAGCCATAGCATTCAATTGATTGTGGCTTTAATAATGGTGTATCAACCGTTTATATACACCAACCCAACTTGTTCCTTCTCTCAGGCGGTCTTTGAAAGAATGTGGTAGGTTTTTCAATACGCAATTTTTATCTTATTTCGAATGATATTTTTTAGAAAATTCGTTTGAATGCAGACCACGCTGTTACATCACTCAATTCAATATTGGCTCTGTAATGATTTTATAGGAATATAATTCTACCCTTGATCATAAAAGTGGAATATGGGATTTTGAAATTTTAATCAGCTGAAAGAAATTTCTACTGTGAAAATTTTTATATCAAAAACATAGTGCCCGGGCATTTTATTTAAAGAATTTGTATCACGTATTAGCATTGTAAAACATCATTTCAGTAACAAATATATATACACATATAACTTGATTTAATAGTAAATCTTCATCCCTATCCTAAATATGAAAATTGAAGAATAATTTCCTTGATTAACCCTGTGCGTATATTCTTTACTTAACATAGATATTGTGAATATGTCAGGTCTAAAGTAGAGCCTTTACTTAAAATGTTTTATTTTTATAATCTCAAGCTAAACCATGGTGATTATGGACACTTGTATGTTCATCTAAGTTAAACCTGTAATTTGTTATATATATTTGACATCAGAATTGAGCAACATATGTGCCATTATTTGTTTCAATATATATATATGCTTTGTGGGAGGTGGACAGTGTCTTACGACCTGCAATGGCCTACCTCCCCTTCCCTTCACTAGTCCGGGTATAGGGAGCCCGTACCCTCTTAAGGGATAATTCTGGAAGAGCACTCTCTACACAAAGCGCTGACGGGTCTCAAACCCTGTTGATCGAGGGATTGTCTACGTATCACGCGTGTAAAGACTGTGCACCAGCGGACTCTGCGGAGGAAACAGTAATGGTTCAACGGAGAAGAAGGCAGAAACAGCAAGCAACCTGGAATGTTTGGAGCAAGTCATTAATAACAAAGAGAACAAGAAAAAAAGATCATCCCACTGTACCTTGGATGGTGGCACGTTCGAACGCTTCTAAACAGAGATATTACAGATATACCTCAGAGAAGCAAAGCACTGATTGCGAACTAGCGAGATATAAGATTGACAATGCGCTCTTAGTGAAACCAAGTGAACTTTGCGAAAGAGGCGCTGGTTACACCTCCTGGAGTGGACGAGGAGCCAAGGAGAGACGAGAAGCTGGCGTAGACTTTGCTATAAGGACGACACTTGCTGGCAAGCTAGTCGGCGTACTCAGAGGAGTGAACGACCGCCTGATGACGATGAGCCCCCCTCTTTCGATGAAAATTTGCCACTATTGTCAGCACATACCGTATAAGCAGAATTTTTAGCGAGGATTTAATTTTGGTTTTATAAGCGAGGGTTCTGGGATCGCTAAAATTAAATATCGCTAAAAATAAAATGTGTTTTATTTGTAATGGCTTCATTAGTGAGCAATTTTAAATCGCTAAAATTACTTCACGCTAAAAAATGCAATTTTTGTTAGAATCACGGCTAGTAACTTAGTTAATACTCATTTAATATGTTCATCATATCTCTGAGTAATTCTGGTAGAACTGTCTATGACGGTTGGCAACTGTGTGACAAATACTTTGCAAGTTGCAAATATATTTAGCTCAAAAAACCTAATTTGAGCAAATAAAGGACAATAACTCTGTCTCCAGCATTGAAGCCACATCAGATTTGATGCTATCATACATTTTCTCACTAGTTAGGGGTATACCTTACCAAATGTCACTATAAAGTTTATTCACCCAAAATGGCACCGACCACTCCCAGGGGCTTATGGACTAATCTTTGAGCAACTTTGAATAAAAATATGAAAACTACGCGGCGAAACTTGTTCATTTTATTCATGAAAACATGACTCATTGTTATTTTCAAATTTTTGACAAACGTTTGTTTGTATCATGTGTACTGAATATGTGTTACAACAAAAAATTCTCCACAAATTATTTAACTCTTGGGACTCTTCTAAATCCATTTAAGCTTTATTTTATAATATTAAACTTTAAGTTTGTTAGAAAACTGTTTTATCAAAAATTCAATTGAGAGGTTGAGAGGTGTTTAAGCTTAATATAGGTTCAATTTGTCAAAAGCATATATCCAACAATTCAAAACACAGTCATATTTAGTCCAACTTATCACCCATGCAAAGTATGAAATTTTCAGTGATTTGAAACGCTAGTATTTCTTCGTAAATTTTTCAAAACAGAATGAACGCATGCTCCAGAGCGTAAAGTTACCTTTTAAACTTAAAAAAATCTACTTTTCTTAAACTGTTCATCAGCTGTAGGAAGATTCTTGTGGAAGTATAAAACGAGGTCCCGAGTCGCAGTGTGTATTTGCACAAAAAGACCCCTCACTGCTCAATGGTCGTAAATAAGTGCCGCGTAGTGGATAATCACCGACAAGTGGTGACGCCTCCATATGAGAGAACAATTCTTCAGAGGGACGTTAAAGAACATATCAATAAATTGATATATATGCACCATCCCTAGACAGATAACTACGCACTGCGTCATTAAATGAACTTGTATACGCCTTAAATTTCAGCTAAACTTTCTAATTGATGGGACCGTTTACGGTAGCTCAGTCGGTAGAGCGCTCGCTCCGTGATCGGGAGTTAGTGAGTTCGTATCTCGGCCGCGACTGACCTAGTCGTTAAAATTGGTAGCAACTGTTCCTTTGTCATGCGCTCGGCACTTTGAAGTGAAAGTTGCGGGTCCTTCGTATGAGACCTTAAAAACCGAGGCCCCGTGTCAGCGGCAGGCGTTCACGTTAAAGATCCCTCACTGCTCAATGGCCCTGAGTGCCGAGTAAAGGTCAAAATTTGAAGCCCTTCACCGGCATACGGTGACGTCTCCGTTTGAGTGAAAAATTCTCGAGAGGGACGTTAAACAACATACAATCAATCAATCAATCTAATTTATGATACCTGCAAGTTCATGTAAGTAGAGACAATGAGAAGTGGAATATTAACTGTTATATCTTTTTCCGGATTTGTGAAGTCTTATATAATTGGTTTTTGCTTACATTTTGATGCCTAATTACATTGCGCAATAATCCAATAAAACAGTTCGGATTCAGCCATATTGTGTGTTACATGTGTTTTGCATCACTATCCAACAAATTGGCGACGAGGAGTAAGAACGGAATCATCAATGAGCCATGGCATTGATCATCGGAAAAGTGGGACATTACGACGAATCGTTGGAAACGTGGGAGTCGTATACAGAACGTCTGGGTCATTATTTTATTGCAAACGATGTGAACGACGATCTAAAGGTACCCCCACTTCTTTCTATCATCGGCCCCAAATACTACACATTGTTAAAAAATTTATGTGCATCCACAAAGCCCTCTACTATGACATTTGCCGAACTCATTCAGAAACTTACAGCACATTTAAGCCCCAAACCCTCAGAGATTGCTGAACGTTTTCGTTTTCACAAACGAGATCAGGCTGCAGGGGAGAATGTGACAGTTTACATGGCAGAATTACGTCGTTTAGCGATACATTGTAATTTCGGCGATGCGTTGAGTAAGACTTTGAGAGACAGATTTGTATGAGGCTTAAAGCAGGAACACATCCAGAAACGACTACTTGCCGAATCACAGTTGGATTTAGAAGAAGCCATTCAGACAGCTGTCGCCATGGAAACGGTTAGTCGCGACGCTCTAGAATTACAGGGAAAACGTGAAAGTGTAAATAAATTTTCTGTGAATAAAACAAAGAAAACGAACAATGGTAAAATGATACCAAGACTAATACACAAATCAGTACAGGGAAAATGTTACAGATGCGGAGGGGAACACAGAGCACATGACTGTAAACACACAAACACAAAATGTAGGTATTGTTCAAAAGTTGGACATTTGGAGAGAGAATGTCAACTATGAAGATAATGGTGGTTATCTGCTGCATTTCTCAAGCTACTACAGAGATGTGAACAAGGTCTCGATAGACCCCATCATTGTGACTCCGAAAATTGCAGGATCTGACATTCCTATGGAAGTTGACACAGGGTCTGCTGTGTATCATCTCTAAGACTACGTTGGACAAATTCCTTAAGTCATACACCATAAAGGATACAGATACTCGTTTAAAGACATACAGTGGGGAGCAGATCCGTCCAGTTGGTAAAGTGCAGGTCAAGGTCGATTTGAATGGACAGAGTGAAAATTTGGACTTACTTGTGGTGAAGCAGGAAGGACCGACACTCATGGGACGATACTAGATGAAAATTCTACGACTTGATTGGAAGGAAATCAAATCAATTAGATTATCGAGTGACAAACGGAACATTTCCGGGAAAATGACTGTTCAGGAAATTCTGGAGAAACATAAGAAAGTGTTTGAACCTGGAATCGGTAAACTGTCGGACATCAAAGGAAAACTTACAATGTAGGATGGTTTAAGACCAAAATTTTACAAGGCCAGAGAAGTGGCATATTCCCTTAGACCTCGGGTGGAAGAGGAACTCAACAGATTACAGCAGGAAGGCGTCATCTCACCTATCGAATTTAGTGACTGGGCAACCCCAATAGTACCCCTACCTAAGGCAAACGGCAAAGTGAGAATTTGCGGTGATTACAAAGTGACAGTTAATCCTGCCTTGAAAATCGAACAATATTCATTACCAAAGATATCAGATATCTTTACGCCGCTTAGCGGAGGACAGAAATTTAGCGAAATTGACTTAACGCAGGCGTACCTACAGATGGAAGTGGATGAGGCATCAAAGAACTTGCTTATCATTAACACACATAAGGGACTTTTCTGCTTTAACCGACTTCCCTTTGGAATCGCTTCCGCTCCTGCTATCTGGCAAAGAGCCATGGACCAAGTTCTTGCAAACATTCCAAAAACTAGGTGCATTTTGGATGACATGATTATTACAGGCTCGACAGATGAAGAACACTTACAGAATCTCAGTCTTGTGCTTGAGAGATTCGAACAACACGGGTTAAAGGCAAATTTGGAAAAGTGTGAATTCTTTAAGGACAAAATTAGTTATTGAGGACATTTAAGGCTTAAAAAAAATAAGTTTGTTTCCTGTAACATTCCCAAAAAATCAAGGGTCGGTAGGTCGGAAATTCTTTTTTTTTTTTTTTTTTTTTTTGCTTATGAAAGGTGAAACATCCCCGGACTGAAAATAACAGGTGTTATATTTACAGTGGACACCCAACATGGCATCCAAAATGGCTGCCAGCGGCAGAAAACGAACTTCAGAAAGTTGTAGGGGGAAACTGTTGTTACACTAATGATTACTCTTTATATTTAAGGTAAATGTAAACTTGGTTGACATATTTTATGTCTCAAAATAAGCTACAAGCTATTTTTTTATTTAATAAATGGAGTCAGCTGATTGATCAAACGAAGTTTTACCATTTTTCAGATAAAAAATCCACCCGGGGATAATTTGAATAGGTCGGTCGGGTTACAGGAAACAAACAAATTTTTTTTTTAGGCCTAATAGACAAAGATGGTTTATATAAATCCAAACCTGAAAATGTGTCTCAACTGCGCTCATTCTTGGGCCTGTTGAATTACTACCATAAGTTTCTGCCAAACCTTGCTACAGTGGTTAGACCGCTAAATGAGTTATTACAGAACAACAGGAAGTGGACATGAACATCCAAATGTGAAGAGTCATTAGTGAAAATGAAAGAACTTATCACATCAGAACAAGTGTTGTGCCACCACAATCCTTCATTACCTGTTCGTTTAGCTACGGATGCATCGCCATACGTAATTGGTGCCGTACTTTCACATATCTTTGAGGTTGGAGCTGAACGTCCCATCGCATTTGCTTCTCGCTCTTTGACAAAGGCGGAGAAGGGATATTCCCAGATAGATAAGGAGGCATTAGGGATATACTGGGGAGTACAAAAAATCCCATACCTACCTCTATGGACGCCGGTTTACACTGATTACAGATCATAAGCCGCTTGTTAGTATTTTTCAACCAGAAAAATCACTACCCGCCATGACTACTGCTAGACTCCAGCGATATGCTATATTCCTTTCTAGCCATAATTACAGCATAGAGTACAGGAAGACAGCTAACCACGGAAACGCTGATGAACTTTCCAGACTTCATCGATAACCTATACATGTACCACAGATGAGGATATCGATACAATCTACTACTCATCACAGCTTGAAAGCTTACCTGTATCATGTGACCATGTAAGAAAGGAGACTCAACGTGATCCTATTTTCTCAGGTGCTTGACATTGTGTTACAAGGTACACGGGACTTTCCCTCGGGAAATGAATTGAAACCTTACAGAAATAGACATATGGAGCTCACAGTGCACCAAAATGGTCTACTTTGGGGAAACAGAGTCATCATCCCTACAACACTACAAAGAGAAGTTTTGTCTGAAGTTCAAAGAAGTCACACAGGGATTGTGAGGACAAAAAGTCTCGCTAGATTTCATGTTTGGTGGCCGAACATTGATATTGAGGCTATGTGTCAGAGCTGTTCAGATTGTCAACATTTCTTACCAAACCCCGAGACTGCACCTGAACACCCTTGGGAATGGACCAATTCACCATGGGAGAGAATTCATCTTGACTTTGCTGGACCGTTTAAAGGACGCATGTACTTCATTGTTGTTGACTCTCATTCAAAGTGGCCGGAAGTTGTGCCTATGTCTTCGACAACATCTACAGCAACAGTCAAAGTTCGTGGACAATGACGTTTTTGTGAAATTGTCAATTTAACCTTGGTCCGTGCGCACTATCTGCGATCCTTAAAGACCCCGATTTTTACAAAAAATATTAAGTTTCATCAATAAAAATAAATCATTCTGACTTGGTTTTTCATAAGAAATATTTTGATATACAATAGATGGATATAGAACCATTTATTTTAACAAAAACGTCATTGTCCACGAACTTTTTGGACAACCCTCGTACCATTGGACAATCCGTCATGGTACGAGACTACCGGGGACAAACACTGTGGATTTATGCTACTGTTATAGCCAGTCTAGGACCGTTGACTTACCAGGTCAAAACAGATGAAGGAGGAGTGTGGCGTCGTCATGTAGATCAAATGATGAAAACTTCAGAAAACATGAAAGAGAGAACAGTTACGGACACTTTAGATTCTAAGTCAGTAGTTCCGAATGAGATATACGCTGCACCACCTACAAACGATACCATTTCACCTGGAACACCGGCAATTCCAAGCCGTGCAACACAAAGTACCAATCGTAACATACCTTGCGCAGACCGTTCAATCGGAGGCAAACCTCAGGTGGTACCAAAAAGATTGTTACACAGACACCACCACCTTATGAACGACGTTACCCTGTGCGTGACCGAAAACCAACAAAGCGATTGATTGCCGAGAGATCTTTATTTGTGTTAATTGTGTTTCGAGGCATAATAATCCTCACCATGTGAATAATTGTAATTGCATGAATTTGAATTTTTCAATTATGTTGTAAGTCAATTATAACTTTGATTGTTAATTAATTTTGATTTACATTTGATTAAGTTGATTAAGACATTTGCAGATATTGCAGACATTGACATTAAGGAGGGAGGATATGTTATATCTTTTTCCGGATTTGTGTTAGTCTTATATAATTGGTTTCTAATTACATTGCGCAATAATCCAATAAAATAGTTCGGATTCAGACATATTGTTTGTTACATGTGCTTTGCATCACTATCCAACATTAACATTAGCACATGCATTTTCAATTTTCATTCTGCACTTAAGTAGAAATGGAGAAGAGAGAGATTGTGTATTTTCATGGTTTACAAATTGATAAACTAATCTAATGTTTAGGGGTAGGTTGTTTCTGTATAGATGCCTGCAGACCATTACACATCCTTTACATGACTATTGTGTACATACTAAACGTGCACCTGATTAGCACTGAAAATACCATAATTTCATTCAAAATACACCTAATAAAAATACTATGGTAAAATATATAGAAGTGTTGCTCGGCATTATTTTATACTTTCATATCAATCTCTGCTTTAAAAACTTTGTTTAAGAACGTTGATACAATGACAAGGTTAAGAAACTCCGGAAATTTGTTTTTCTCAAAGCATCGAGGAACAACATTTCTTCGCTTATGTGCACGGATGCTTTAAGTAAACTTTTGCTTTTTTTAATTATTTAAACAGACTATGAAAAAGAAAGAGTAAGTGAACAACAAAAAAGCTACATGTAAAAGAATTATATTACTGTTGTAATATGGCAAACTCTACATCCGTACAAAATTCACGTGTAAAAAGATTTTGAATTAAAGCAGATCTTTCTTGTATTATCGTCATTAACTTCAAACTAAAATAAAATACGTACTAATCGAGATATCAATGAAAAATAAACGTGTCTGTGCATACCATACCCATATGATTTCCAATAAAAGGTGGAGAAGAAAATTATGAATTTAAGATTCATGGTGAAACAGAATTGTATGTGCCACACAAGAAGGAAGTTGATGTCATTTTTAAAATACACATTGTAAGGACTTTTTAAAAAAAATGTTTATTAGCGTTCTTACGACCAACTGGTAAATACTAACTCGATTTATTTGTGGTCCAGAAAACGTAGATTATTTCTCAGTATTATCATTCCGTCAAAAAATATATTTATATATATGTCAACCAACCTACCGATCCAATTTATAATAAAATTCAACAAACATTATTTTTAAGTTGGTAGTTCGTATCCAGAACGTATGTTTTTTTTATAGGGGCCTAATCACAATTCAAAAAGTAAAAAGTGAAAAAAAAAATCAATACCGTTCAGTCGGTGGACAATGTCGTATTTATCATAAGGACGGTTGGTGACCGTGTATCTATTGAAGTATTCTTTCCAACTTTAACAACATTTGATGCAAATTATTCAATTACATAATACATCTTTTTTTTCTGAAGGCCATAGAACATGGTTAAATTTTTGGTTCGAGGATTATACTTATTTTTTTCAATTCCTTACTAAAGTAGTCGAAATGGTTTATTTTTGTCAATATTCAAGAAAATTGTTTTCCCAAATTTTTTACCATTGCTAAAATTATCAAAATAAATTATAGGATGTGAGAGTCCTAAGACTCTTCTCTATTATTTTATTGTTATTAAATGAAACAGTGTGATAGTCAATTACTTCATAAAATGAGAGGGCCTTGTTATGCATAATTGGACTCTTTCTCTTTACTTAAAAAACACCAAAGACAAATAATAAAGCTCAATCATGAAAGTGTTGTGTGTGTGAGAGCGTAAAAATACAAAGTATTTTAAGTCATTAGGTATATAAATGAAGCCCATAATGTTGCTGAAATATGGCTGAAATAGTGCCGACTTGGCGTTGAACAATCATGACAATTAATCATCATTACATGAATATTGAAAAGGTTACAGTACTGAAGATAAATGCTAACATGTATGTTATCTTCTTAAAGGCCAGCAATTGGGTATAAAAGCAACCAATCGGTGAAAATGGTGGAGGATATGAATTTTCTGGTCACATTCAGATTACAGCACTTATTTTACAAAAATCAAGATTCAACTATTTTTGTTTCATTTCAAAATTGTTATGCCAGTTCCTCTCATCACTGGGCATTTGTATGTCAGATTTATTTTACATATAAAAATTTATTAGATTATAATTTTGGCTTCAAAAAACTGAAGCAGGGCTGATTTTGTATTTCAAACTAGAGATTGGCAGTTTGTGGGCGTGATTTCCATTTGTTATTGTTTACACCGGATGTTGACTCACACACACTGCAAAGGCATGTCTGTATAGTGATGGCGCCAAAATGAACCAATTATGTGTATTGCTACAGGTTATTCTCTGTTAAAAGGAATGAAATATTTAGATTTACTCACATTTATTAGTAAATCCAATGTATTTTAACTGGTTCCATTTAATGTGAATTATGAATATGAAAAATAATTCCCACCGTCACAATATATTGCACTGTCTGAGTGAGAGAAAACTCAGTTTAGGTAAACATCCCCAGTTTAATCTTGAAATAACTCATCTCCC